TTCAGCTACTGACCCTAAACTGGCAAGTGTGTACGTTAATTGGCATGCTAGTTCCTGGCATGCAAGCTAATCGCAAAGAATTTAATTTTTCTTGCTAGTAGCGTGTTGTCAGATGCAAGGCACATGCGTGGAGAGTGCCACTAGCATATGTGATACACACATGCCAGTAAATTGAGAAAGTAGCTGGTATACCAGTTAGACCATTGTCACTGACTATTTTAATTTTATATAGAGATGATTTAGAATTCACAAGACACTCCAATTCTCTATATATAGCAATAAATTTATAAAACTATAAAATAAAACTATAAAATTATAAATTAATACGTTTAAAAATAAAACGATTAATTTTTATCACCAACACAACAAATCTGACAATTCTGCGTAGCTACTGGCATGCCCGTAGCGGTAGCCCGCGTTCACACATACCAGTGACACTTCTCACGCATGCGCCTTGCATATCACAGCCTGCTACTGCAAGAAAAATCAAATTCTTTGCAATTAGCTAGCATGCCAGTGAACGTACACATTTGCCAGTTTGGGGACAGTAGCTGGTGCTTGCTAGGTACTGGTATACCATTGTGCTAGTAACAGGCATGTGTATCTCCGGCTTAAATGTGTTTTGTGCTTGCCAGTTACTGGCCCATACCAGGTACTTTCCCAATTTACTGGCATGTATGTACCCGGCTTAAAGCCGGGGATACACATGCCTGTAAGATGGGAAAGTAGCTTGCATACCAGTTGCTAGCATAAGCCAGTAACTAGTGTGCACAAAACATATGCATGTATGTACTGGCAACGCCAGTAGCAGGCAAACAAGCAGGGGTAGATATTACACATACCAGTAATCATACTGGTTTCGGATGGCCACGGATATTGTTAGAAATTTAATAATTAAACGAAAAATGATATTTATTTTGAAACTAGTTATAACAAAGAACAACGACTAGTAATGTTAAATACATTTAATATTAAAAAGCGACATATATGTGAAACTTCGTAAAGAAAATTGGCGATACAGTGTTACCTCTTCCTCCGTATCATTGTGTATTTAACCCTATTGAACATATCAAGCATCAAGTCAAAGTAAAGGTCAGGGCGGAAAATAGTTCTTCTACCCTGAGTGCCACTCTCATACAATTAACTAAAACTTATAAATGTGTATAAAGTTGGAAACATTCAACGACATATCGTAAAAGTTGAATAGTTCTACCTGTTTACGCAAAGTTACAATATACAACCCGTTGTAATTAATCCAAATGAGGACTTTGACAGTGAAACAGAATTAGACATGGAATAATATTTATTATTAATGTTAGTAATATTATTATATGATTTCTATAGCGGTAAATTTAAGCAGTGTGTCTTGAATTAAAATCGCTGTATCATTATTTTTAACTGGAGTCTCCTTCTGATGTTTTGTCACCAAGAACCATTAATTTTCGTTGTTACATTGATGGCAATGGCAATAATAACACGAATCCTTTAACAAGGGGAAAACCAAGACAATATATTTTGAGACAAGGTATACCTAATGTCGGATTTCTTCGCTTCGTTCGTAGATTAACGTTTCCTAATGAGTGAGTCAGGTTCATGAGATTTTGTAAGTAGTTTATCGACGCATCCGAAAGCAACGGTGGTAGAAGAGGAAAACCTAGTCCTATAAAAACTGCGTTTTTACGGTGTTTCATTATACTGTATTACATGTAAACAAGGTACGCGCTGTCATGTTATGCGACGCAACGCTAGAGCCGTCCCTGAATTATTCTAATCTATTATTTATGTATACTATTGTATTGTACAACTATAAGGGGGAAAATATATAGTTTCTCCCAAAGTACAAAGTAGTACTCTAGAATGAAATTTAGTTTGAGCATCATATATATCCCTATGAAATTAACAGTAAAACACATAATCCAATACTATTCTTATCAGGTCGCGTGGGTGAAGGAAACATTTATCACCCAAATAAATACCTTTTAAGCACAAATAAAACAAGGTTATATATATATGAAATAATTAATTTTCCAATTAAACAAATATTGTGTTAGCTGAGAGGCCTTGGATTTAGCGGTCAGGGATGTTAATGTTTTTAATAACATCATCTCGGTGTTTATTAAAAAAAATTAAATATAAATTTTCAAGATAAAAATAAATCTAAAATGATGCAAATAATTTTAAAACTTCATCACAATAAATAGCTTACAGAGATCCATTATTTTAAATAATATTCATCACATATTCATTTTGCAGACAGCAGAAATTCGATAAGAAAGATCATGAACATTGAGCGTTGAGCAATATTTTTTAATGGCGCATAATCAAAAAGCCACGAGGAGAAAGATAATTTTTCCACGTAAATTCTGTGTCGTAACAGAGTAAACGACATGGCAGTGGAGGATAATCTAATAAATGAGGGATTGAAATATCTATGTGAAATTATAAGGAACGAGCGGATGATAAAAAAATACAAAAATGTTCTTTGGGAGAAATAACCAGAAACAATAATTATTGTCTGCAATCACATGCAGCAGCTTAAACTTATTCGTAAACTAGTTCCTAAGGTTTTATTTTGCAATTTAGTGAAATTTTGCAATGTATTGTATATTTTATTATGTTTTATTCTGTGATATTGACGATTTATGTAATTTTAGTAAATTTTAATTGGTATTGTTACAATTGTTGACAATAAAGCATATTTCTATTCTATTCTAAAAGAAACTGTTGTTCCCAATATACGATTATTGAGAGCAAACATAGTATTCTGTTCTCATGACAAAATAAATAATCGTTCATATTAACTTAAAATTAGTTTTACTATTGTTCTGAAGCTATTTTCTTGTGGCATTTTAAATTAATTACTATTTAACTGGGAATAAGCCACAATTACAGATAAAAATACGTTTATTGACGTTTCAATTTCCACTTCGGAAATCGTTCTCAAAAGACAAACAGTAAATTAAACAAATTTTGTTTTTTGTTACATAGTGAAAAATTCTTCTAATAATTTAATTTTATCTGACTCATTTATATTGACAATTCAGACATACATTATGCATTTTAAAGTAGACGACTTTAAAATGATATTGCCAATATTGTTGAGTTGGCTCCTGGGACGACTTTACTTATAAGATAGTTCATTCGATTACATGAAATCAAGTTTAACTTGAGAATATCCGTCAGAAAAAATCTTAGCATATAATTCGTCTTTAAAAAGACATACACATGACATGATGACAGTAAAATTCTCCTGTTAGTGATTCCATAGTAAATTATGAGGGAAAAAAACAGGAAAAAAACCTCATAATACTATCCCGACATAGTAAGTATTTGTTCGTGCATTTAGTTTACCTTCAATAAACACCAAAATTCTGATTTTATATGTTTCGTTATTTAAAAAACATAAATGATGTATCCTTTATTGATGTTACTAACTTACTAATAGTGGTATTTTCTTATTAATAACTTCCTCTTTCAATATTGGTAATCAGATCCTACTACATTCTGCCGAGGAATTTGCTACACAATTGGCCTCATTTAGCATAATTAAAGCCGCTTCTTTGATTTTTCTTTTTTATCATCCGTCTCTTTTAGGACTACATTTGAATTATTCCATTGAACCCTATGTTCATTATCCGATGCGTGTTTACATATTTGAGATCTATCAAATTCTCTATTTTTAATATAAGACTGATGTTCACTTATTCTAACATTTAATGGCCTTGATGTTTCACCTAAATAAAACTGATAATACAATTTTTCACTATGTAACAAAAAACAAAATTTGTTTAATTTACTGTTTGTCTTTTGAGAACGATTTCCGAAGTGGAAATTGAAACGTCAATAAACGTATTTTTATCTTTAATTGTGGCTTATTCCCAGTTAAGTAGTAATTAATTAGTGTTACTGTTTGAAATATTCAAATATTAAATCACGAAAGTAGAAATCCGAGGATTTCTATTGACGAAACCAAAATCCAGATTTTTTCTTTAATCTGTGCCTTCTAAGAATTTTAAGGCAAAACGGACGATGCTAAAATATGTAAAGAGAGAAAACGGGGAATCTAAAAGTTGCGTTCCACAACATATCTCCTCATCTAAGCAAAAATCCTTGGCGAATTGGTTTCTAGTACTCATAAAGTGTATATTGAAATAAAAGAAAGACAGTTACAATTTTTTGATTTCACGTATAGTGCCTCTGTATATTCGCTTATACGTATTTCATCCTAAGAGGACTCAGAGCGAAATCTCTGAACGTGAAAACAAATCTTTCCCGACGAAAAGAAGCAACAATAAAATGGCTTTAGTATGGACGCATTGCGACATCTGATAATAAATCACGAAAGTAGAAATTCGAAGATTCCTATTGACGAAATCAAAATCCAGATTTTTGCTTTTCTATGTCTATATCCAGATTATTAAAAGATGTAAAGAGATATCTTTACTTTTCACTATACTTGAAATCAAATCTTAACTGTCTTTCTTTATTCAAATATTAATTTATGGGTTTATCTTCACACAGTCCATAGCATATGACGTGAAGATCTGAGTTACATCATAAGGAAGATATAAGTAGAATATACTAAATCAGGCCTTGAGATTAACTCGGCAAAATATACTAAATCGACAGTAGAAGAGGAGATATAAAATATATAGATAAAGAACGAACGAAATAACTAAGAGAAAAGTAAAGTATCTGAGCGATAAGTGCCAGAAGAATACTGGAAGTTGCAGTAACAGATGTTTTCGAAGATGCCCTCGAGTAACAACAATGGACCGAATAAGAAATGAGGAAATAAGATAAACAACATAAAGTTTACTACGATATTCTACAAATGAAGTTTAATTCCTATTATATAAAAAAATATTTTTCGATTTTACCGTGCTTATAGCGAATCTATATGATTAAAGATTTACATAAAACAATTCTCTCATATTTCAAAATTCTAAATATTCTCCGCATATTTGTCTTGCATGACTAATTTTTAAATTTTTTTTTAGTTACGATATGGTACATTTCGGTCACGCAAATTCTTTACGTCAAGCGAAAGCATTGGGCGATCGCCTTGTAGTAGGTATACACACAGACGAAGAAATAATGAAACACAAGGGACCTCCAGTATTCACTGCAGAGGAACGCTACAAGATGGTCAGAGGTATCAAATGGGTAGACGAAGTTGTGGAAGGAGCTCCTTACGTAACGACGTTGGAAACTTTGGATAAATACGACTGTGATTTTTGTGTACATGGTGATGACATTACATTGACCGCTGATGGGGTTGATACTTATCACTTGGTTAAAGAAGCGGGTAGATATAGGTAAGCGTCTTCGTCTTCCATCTTGTATATATGTCTGTTTCTTCTTCGATATTAGCCTCCTAAATTGTTTAAATTATCGCACCATCTTTTTCTTGGTCTGCAAATACTTCTTCGTCCATTTGTTGACTTATCTCGTGCTATTTAGGTAAGTGTAAACCTCACAAACTATATCTGTTTATATTAGATCTGCACAGATCTCCCCTAATTTATTCAATTCTTCTCTTTCTTGCTATATTCTCGATATGCAAATTTTTTGATGTCGTCTGGCCATCGCAACTTTGTCTTCCTTGTCCTATCTTATTTTCCCAAGATCTCCATTGCATGATTAGATTATTCCACCTTTCATTTTCATATCTGATGTGTCCTTCAAATTAATTGCCTTTTTAGTTTTGTTAATTCTCGTCTCATATCACTTACTACTTTAAATTTCGTGTTAATAAATTTATTTGTATTCTCATTTTTTAAGTTTTTTATTTAACATTTGTCTTTCCGTGGTGGTTTGAGTTTTCTTTATGTTATCAACATTTACCTTTGTAAAAGTCCATACTCGTGGTCTATAAGTAAGAACCTGGAGAACACATTGGTTAAAATCTCGTATTTTAAAGAATTTGTGAGTATTTTTTCATTTTTAAGGATTTGACTCAATTTACCAAACGTCTCTCAAGCAACTCTTGTTCTTATTTATTGTTCTCTATTTATCGCCATTTGTTCTTTTTCTTGGTAGATTTAAATTATTTTATTATTATTTGAATAGCTGTTGTGGCTTTGCTATACACGTATTTGTTATTAGTTAGTATGGTGGTAATCAATTTTGACTTTATTTATTGCACTTTTAACCGTTTAATGCTCTACTTTATCAAAATCTTTCTCGAATTTGATTAAAAGCTACGATTAGTAATGATCATTGTTAGTAAATGGTCACCTGTAATAAACTGTTTATGAAGCCGGCTTGTCCTTTTTAGTGGTATCCATCAAATTTTTTTGTTAACTTATTTGTTAGAATTTTTGTAAGTAATTTATAGATGAATTTAAGAAGAGTTTTTCGTATGTAGTTTATGTCTATCTTGTGTCCATTTTTATGCGTCATCGTTGTAATAGATTCACATAAGTTATTCGGGATATTTTTCTCTTGAAGTATTTGATTAAAAAAAGTATGGGTAGTATTGATTACCACGCTAGTTTTCCACCGTTCTTAAGAATTTCCCCTGTTATTTCTTCTTTTCCGGAGCTCCATTTATCTTTTAGATATCTCTTTATTTTGATTTACTGATTTCAGAGATTTTTCTGAGTTTATATTTCCACTTTTATAATTTCGTCTTCGTGTTTTCCTCTACTCCGTTCACGGACTACATTCCTTTTGCCATTTTCGGACCTCATACACGATGCTGTTTTTATTACAGGGAATCAAAAAGGATCATTTCACAGATTATTTTTTGCCTTTTCTGTAATATCATCCAGCCCTGATATTGTTTGATCTTTGAAATTATTAAATAAAATATATGATGTATACATTTAAATTGACTTTTAAAACAATTTTTTAGGGAAGTCCAACGGACAGCAGGCGTTTCCACGACAGATTTGGTAGGTCGGATGCTATTACTAACGAGGAATCATTTTAAACAAGGTCAGTATGAGTATGATGTCGCTCGGGATCATTCTTCTTCTATGGGACAGGACTCATTCGCTAGATCTCCTTGGACAGGTTGTTCGCAGTTTTTGCCGACTACACAGAAGATTATCCAGTTTTCAGATGGAAAGTCTCCGAAACCCGGCGATAGGATTATCTACGTTGCCGGAGCTTTTGATCTCTTCCACGTCGGTCATTTGGACTTCTTGGAAAAAGCCAAAGAGCAGGTAAACATAAAAAAACCTCCGTGTATGTATATGTATGTATATAATTTGCTATAAAAGAGAGGTCTTTTAACTTCTTTGACTATGACATAATATTTTCACAGTAGGGCGACATAACAACAAAAAAAAATAATGCATGTGCGTTGACAGAACATGCATTAAGGTTAAAACATGAATTTAATTTAGAGGATTCCTGTATTTTGGAAAAGGAAAAAAACCATTTCAAATCGTGTTTTCTTGGAAATGTGTTTCATAAAATCCAATACGTCTTGTATAAATAAAAAGTCTGACATAGATAAACTGAGCAACATTTATTGTTATTTACTGAAAAAACATCAACAATGAAATAAAGACATACTTTTACATATACACATCATAATACACCTGCATGCAAAACATGTTGCATACCATCAAGATAGGTTTAATACATCACTTCCATAAAACGTGAAAAACACCTAATTACATTTTAATCATACTATTTTTGGTTTTTTTTTCTTTCTGTTCTCTATGGATCAGATAAAACCATCGAGCAAAAAGACAATAGAGGAAATGTAAAGGTAAGAGATGTAACGAAGATGTAAGAAATGTAAAGGTAAAAGGAAAGAGAGTCTCTCTCCTTGTTTGACATCAAATTTAGTTGGGTTATGTTATTGTTTATCCCAAATGTCACATGAAATCTTATTTATATTGAAGTTTTTAACAATTGTGTCGCATTTTAGACTCTTATCATTAGTAATTAATTAAAACTTTCTCGTCTAAGACACATTTGAAAAATATTATATAGCTACTGTTGATAAGTGTCGGAAAATTAAATTTGGCGCATTCGCATTTCCGGATATGTCCGCCATCAGAGGCCACTTTTTTGGTCTCCTTTTCATAAGGATTAGATTCCCTCTTTTGTCTTATTGCTCGATGGATAAAAACACACCATTAAAAGATGTCGCAAACGAAGTTTTACTATCATCTCAAATATTACATCCTACCATTACTGAAATTAGAACTTTTACAACGAATTGAAGACAAAAATTTGGCAGATTGACAGTAAATCAAAACAATGATAGTACACCGGTATAGTCCAAATAATTTAAATATAAAGAAAACTTTCACTTATTTCAGCTTCTTAGTAAACCAAGGGGGATGCAGTGAAGAAATGAGAAAAAGTATTGCATTGTTCAAGCAAGCCATGACAAAACTTTTATAAGGTATAACCATTAACGCCAAAGTGCGAATAGTTAAAAGCCTGGCATTTTTTATATACCTATACGCATCTGAATTTTGGACAATTAAAACAAACAGACAAAAAGAAAATAGATGCCTTGAGGTGTATGAGGTGCGAAAATCAATAAAAATAGCGGATGATCGAGACAAATTGAAAGTGACAGTTCAAGAGATTTCACGAAATCACAATACTAGAAAACAAGCTACCGACTAGTTGGAAGAAGAAAAGATGAGTTTACTTGATATGTACTTATATTATACTTATTAATATAGGACTTTAGTTTAGTTTAGTTCTTGCCTCTCTTCTTTAACGAATTAAAGAAAAGAGGCAAGATTAAAAATACTAAACGAAAATATATGACTGTAACAGTGGAAGCAAAAATATCGGTAAAAGAAACGACCTGTGTTAGAAACAAAGTTAAAAAGTGAGAACGGATTTAAAAACACAGACTCATGAAAATTTTATTAGGAAATTAAAAATAAAAAGTCTGGGAAAACAATATTTATGGAGGTTATGGGAATATGGGAATTTAGTAGTACATCTGGCACAGAAAAAAGTAGGAGAAGAAACTATTTTTAGAAATTGTACGGACCAGAGAGGATAGAAGTTTTTATGTGAAAATGCCTGATAAAGAAGAAACAATAAAATACCAGGAAAAATGCTATTTGTGCTATCACCTTAATCGGAAAAGTTATACGAACAAATATTCAAACAAATAAGAGGTTTGCAAAATTATGCTAAATTTTCTATGCTAAAGAAGAATAGAGTAAGAAATGCGATAATTACAGGCGTATTCTTGGATGTGACATATTAGAGCTACACCACTTAAAGGACCTCTGTCTTATCTCATGATATCTCCATATTCTTCCCTGTTTTTATAGGCCATCCCGCATGGCATCTATCAATGTGAGTCAGGATCTTCCTCTTCTTCTTCCCGGGTCACCCAAAAATACTTTCTTGATGTTTTTTCCCACCCCGCTTCCGTGCCCAGCCCTCCCTATGGGTCATTCTTTATACCAATCATTACGTTTGGTTTTGCAAATAGTAGCTGCAGTTTCTGATTGCTCCTTAACCCTAGACTTGAACGTCTCTAACTGGTCCATAAATTATTCTGAGAATTTTTTTCTTCCACCTTTTGAGCGCTTCTTCATCCTTGATTGAAAATGTTCATGTCTCGTTTCCATACATCACTACTGGACGGACCACACTTCAAGGTGCAAGCTCGTCTTTGCGTGTACCTACTGATTACACTGGACGTGAAAAACTGCAGTAGATAAAAATTGCTTCATTAAGCCGCTGTTTTAATTTCTTCAGCTACAGAATTGTTTTCGGTCACTACTACACCCAGGTATTTAAAACGTGTCATCCTTTTGTACCTGTGTCCATATATGGTGACTTCTTGATCTTGAATTCTTGAAAACATGAGCACAAACTTGTTTCTCTCTAAATTCTGTCCTACATCCCCTGTTTGTCGTTCCAGAACTGTAGAGGACTTTTCCAAGTATGGTAATGATCTTGCAAGTTTTCCTATATCCTTACATCCATATAGAATACTTGCTAGCCTACTCCAACGTCTGCAAGAAAAATTTGGAAATATATTAGAAGATTATCAAGTGGAGTACTATTCTTTACTAGAACAAAAGTAAGGAGCAACAAATAAGACTCGTTGCTATTTTTATGGATTTTAAGAAAACCTACGATATAAACACAAAATTAATATCTTTAATAAGAGCATTAAAGGGTACCCAGTGTAACGTAAGAGTGGAGCATTCGCAAACAGATAGATTTTGAGGAAACAAAGGATTATGATAAGGTGACTCTCCGTCTTCAGTTCTTTTAAATTAATACTGAAAAAACAAGAGAAAGCAAAATAAAAGCTAACGGAAGCATTTATTCTAGATATAAATTATGTTGACAACTTAATGAAATATGTTGCGGATTTAATTTCTCTTAGAAGGTGATTATAAAGTTTTTTTGCACTATATAGAATAGAATTCTTTACTAGCTAGTAAAGCTCCAAAAAATTGCTCCAAAAATACAGAGAATAATTATCCAGATGCTGATAATTTGCAGTTAGTGAAAAAATTCAATTCGTTGCGCACTAACTTTAGAAAGGAATTACATCGTATAAGGGACTCGGAAAAAAGCGGTGTAAGGGGAGCTATGTAATTCAACCAACATTATGATATTTTAACGAAATGCAGTTTCTCGTGTGTCAGGACAAACCTAGTGCTTTTAAAAAGTACTATGCAGTAAGGAATTGGACCTGGACCAGATCAAATCCCTGCCGAACTACTTAAACTTTTGGATGAGGAAAGCATTGCCTGCTTAACCACTTTCTTCAACAAAATTTACAACGAAGGAAAAATACCAGATGATTGGTTAGAGTCACTGTTTATAACATTACCAAAGAAAAGCAGGCCCACCAAATGCAGCGATTTTAGACTAATCAGTTTGATGAGTCACACACTGAAGATACTCTTACGAATTATACAAAACCGAGTATTCCTTCTATGCGAAAGTAAGATGGGTGATAAGCAATTTGGATTTAGAAACGGTCTAGTAACTAGAGAGGCACTATTCTGTATGCGCGTTCTATTACAAAAAAGTTGTGAATTCCGAAAGAATGTTTATGTTTGTTTCATCGACTTCGAGAAGGCGTTCGACAGAGTCCAACACAATACACTTTTCGACTGCCTACGGGCAGCAGTACTTGACCACTATGATATAAGACTGCTGAAATACTTTTATTACAATCAAGTAGCCTCTATCCAAATTGGAGACAGTCCCACTGAAAAAATACCCATCAAACGTGGAGTACGGCAGGGTTGTGTTTTGTCACCCACTCTTTTTAATCTGTACTCTGAAGAAATCTTTAGGGAGGCTTTGGATGACAGACAAGAGGAAGTAAGACTAGGTGGAGAAGTAATCAACAATATTAGATACGCTGACCATACAGCCATTCTTGCAGGACAGTTTACAAGATCTCCAAACATTACTAAATCTAGTCAGTGAAGCAAGTTATCGGAGAGGCCTAAAAATCAACATTTCAAAGACAAAGTGGATGGCAGTTGGAAAGATCCATATAGATCAAGGTCTGCTTTCTCTTAATGGAGAAGAGATAGAAAGGGTAAATCATTCCAAATACCTTGGCAGTGGTTAAATGTTAATTGTGACTCTGATGAAGAGATAATAACCAGGATCGAAATATCACGTAAGGCGTTTATGACGTAGAAACCAGTTTTATGCAACAGAAACCTGTCGATGAATATTCGTAAGAAGGTCCTGAAATGTTATGTGTGGTCCATCCTATTGTATGGTTGTGAGACATGGACGTTAAAAACCACAATGCTAAACAAGTTAGAAGCATTCGAATTGTGGTGCTATAGACGAATCCTAAAGATATCGTGGGTTTCGCACACTTCCAATGCAGATGTTCTTCAAATGATCAATTCAGAACGTCTGCTCATAAACACCATAGAGAGGAGAAAAACAGAATACTTCGGCCATATAATTAGAGGACCTAAATACCACATTTACTTCGCCTTATAATACAAGGAAAAGTGGAAGAAAAGAGATGGATTGGTCGAAAGAAACTTTCATGGCTGCGTAATATTAGACAATGGTGTGGTTTCACAGTAGAAAAATTATTTCGCGCAGCGAAAATCACTTGGTTCGCTAATTCTTAAATCATTTAATAAATTTTCATGAGTGTACTTTTTAACCATTCTTTCATCCACCTGCACTTATTTTTTTTCCCTTGTGTAGCTACAACTAATGCGATAGCCACACAACTCGTCGTTTTTTTATTCCACATGTTGATAGCACAAGTTTCAGTCGGGAACTAATTTATTGTACAATAATATTGAATCGTGTATTGGCCTACTAATATTATTGTACAATATATGGTATAATAATATTGACGCTAATATTGACTGTCTAGGGGCCGCTTAGAGTAAAATACTGAATAAGTAGGGCTAGAGATTGGAAAAGGTGGGGAGAAGTTGTGCAGTAAGCCTTGGACAATGGCCTGTTGCGCTATTATTAATATACGAACTAGAAAAAAATTGACAAACAGCTATTGAAACTTTGACCGTACTTATTAAAAAAATTGTTGAACGTTTAACCTGAATTTAGTGTTCTTTCTCTTCCTATATCGCTCGTGTTCAAATTAAATATTTTACGTATCATCGAACAATCTCTCCAAGTTTGAAAATTCTAGTTACTGTGCTATTTTGTCCATGGTAATCTGCAACTTCGCCTTATAAGGTGTATAGCACGTTTTCTAGTTTTTAAATTAATCACATACACCTTCTGACATTCTGGCCACCAATTAACTATCCAGCAGCTTGGCTGGATACTGTTTAATTTTAAAGCCATTCGTGTTATGTTTTTTTGCAGTAAATACTATGAAACGGGCTTCAGCATGAGTTGTAGCTCGTTCTCGTCCGAGAACTTGCCGATATATTCAGCTATCGAGACATTTTTTCTCCAGACAAATCTTTTTGTACAATTTTTATTGACAAATTTTGTTCAACGTTTACAAGCTGTTCTGTGCTACTGAAGTAACATTTGTGAAGGTCTACATGTTTTGTTTAAAATTTAATAGCACAAGAACACTTTAAGAAACACATAAAATTGGCACTTCTTTCGAGAGTAAAAATCAAAATTTATTACAAATATCTGTATTAAACTTAAAGTAGAGTATCATTAGAAAGTAGCAATCATAAAATGTTAATATTAAAACCAATAGTATGTTATATAAAAACACAATAAATTTATAAAATAACTGTGTGATCAGATATCATCAGACATATTTCTTTATCAATTATTAGAATACTGCGATTTTGCTACTTTGAAGCAAGTTTTGTATACTGGTATTAAGCCACTCTAATTTAAATGTAACATTGAAATTGTTTCAATATTTTACATCCACATCCAAATTCACAAGATAGAAAGATTTATGCCACTCTGATATGTTTATTTCCATGTGCCTGTTCTCGATATGTAAATTTTCATGCACTGATTTCGAAAACTTTAGTTGCTTTATATGAAGTCATTACTACTGCCATCAATACATTTTTGGACAAATAAACATAACACATTTGTATGCTCCCTCTATATTAATTTTGCTTACAATCTTATTCCTTTTGCAGTAAAATTGTTCACTTTGTTCGCTCCTATACACACATTTCATAATTTTGTTGGGTTAACCCTTGAAGATCACACCGATTTTTTTTAACATATACCACACATATGGGTGGTATCAGTATCAGATACCCAATGATTTTTTGTGAAGAACAAAAAAAAAGTTAATATTTTATGATTTCCAGGAGACTGTCTAATCAGTATTGAATACACAATAATAATTAAATCAATCATTTTATTTTCTCTCTCTTAATTGTAGTAATACAAAAGAAAAAAATATTAAAAATATTTAAAAATAATTAACAAACATTTTCTAAAAAGCCAGAAATATAATTCAAAATATTTTACCTTAATTTAACAACAATATGGTCTTTCTAACTAAAAGCTAACAACTTTTTATTATAGAACTCATATTCATTCTTAGCCAGGAATTTCAATTTTACTCATTATGGTGACTACATTCACAACACAGTTTAACTCTATGCCCCATGCAGTATGCTTTATGGCAAGCCTAGCATGCATGCTTTGTTTTTCTATCTGTTCCTTTGCAGAAATAACATCTAGTTTGCTTTACTAAACTTGTGGGATGTTGTGTTGGAAGGTCTTCAACTTGAAGAAAGCCACACATTGTTTGCCTGAGTGATTTCTCTAAAGAAGGTATTTAGGGTCTCTCTTGAATTAGTGGTTCAATTAAAGCCATTCCCAAAGACTTCAGAAATGATCTTCTATTACTAGATGCATTTTCTTTCCAATGGGGAGTTGCGAGAGAAAAGAGCACCATTGCATTTATACCACTTGCATCAAGCATATTAAAAAAAAATTCCTAGTGGTCATCGTCTGGATCCAAGCAACCTGGCAACATTTATAACTCGTTCATGATCAATTTCACTATCACTTTTATCAGTACCGGTATTGGAGTTTTGTTCTTCGACATAATCCTCCTTAGATTCGGAATCAGTACCAAAGATATTTTGGCCATCATCCTCGTTGTTTTCATAAGCAAATACATTTTCAGCTTTCCTTTCCACGTCAGCTTGGGTCAACGGACAACGTTTTTCCCAGTTTTCTTTCTAACTACATGAAGCCATTTCCCAAAAAATGATTATAAAAAAAATTAATAAATTATCGCAAACCTCACACATGAGTGCTACATACCCTAGCGTTTATTCAAAAAATTTTCGTGATTGGAAATATTGCTCGAATGAGACAGCAACTACATATCCGTCCTTGGCAGACTACAGACTGAATTTACATGAAGCGGCATTACCATTGAAATGCGGTTTAGCATGCTACATTCAGTTAAGTGTCTGGATGGGTATCTCACACCCAAGTGTGAGATTCCAGGGTTAAGATTCATTCGGAGCTTTAAATTACGTAAATTCCTTTTAAGGCAGTGCTTCACTACAAAACCAACGACATAACTGAAATTCTCTATTCTCAAGTAGTCAGTTGCTTATTTTAGTTCATTTTGCAGGATTTCCATATGCTTCAGAATTTTTAAAATTCTTAAAGCCAAACGCAGACCAATTAGGTCTGACTTTGAATGACCATGTTTATGAATTGTATTAATTTACTGATAAATAACTCTCATATATATTGTTACAAAACTAATAAAATGGGCTTAACCGTGTTGTAGATATTTCTTTAAAAATTAGGTTTTAAATAAATCAGACAATTGTATAAACAAGTAATTTTATGGAATATTGATTTTGAATTCCAAAAGAAGGAAGGCTTATTCCAATACTAGCTCTAATTACAATATTTTTGATGACGCTGACTAATAATTTTTAAAATGATTATGATTATAATTTATGAATGTATTCAATTGAAAAAATATATAAAAACACCACCTATGTAAATAATTTAAAACATTGTTTATTGCCCATATATTAACTTGGTTATTAATATACTTTTATTATTACAGGGCGATTACCTAATCGTCGGACTTCACACAGATCCAGTCGTCAACAGATATAAGGGCACCAATTATCCAATAATGAACCTACACGAAAGGGTACTCAGTGTCCTGGCGTGCAAGTACGTTTCCGAAGTGGTAATTGGTGCGCCTTATACTGTTACAAAGGATTTGATGGACCATTTTAAAGTCGACGTAGTGATACATGGAGATACGCCTGTTATGATGGACGTGGATGGGAGTGATCCGTACGAATATCCTAAAATGGTAAGTGAACATCAATAGTTAAATACGAATGTTATATATTCACTAGACCTCTCTAGATTTTTGGAGAAATGGTTTTAAAGGTTTTCTACTGTATGAGAATGTACCGATAGTGAAATTAATAAAAGGATTAGTTGCTAGTTACTGTTGGAGTAGCAGTAAGAACAATACAATGGAACTAACACTGTATCTTGAGTTGTCATATTCTATTTCTCCGTTTTTACTTTTAAGTTGTATTCAAAAGCCCTTCCGGACTAGGTATTTGACTATATTCCTTGATATATGCCAGCGGCGAACTCCCAATAAGATGACTATGACTTATAACTCGTTGGCTACTGAAAAATTATTAAACTACTAAATTAGACTACTAAAAATTATTAAAAAAAAATACAGAACAAAATTAAGATGATTAAACAAAAAGAAAACATAAAAATCGAGTGTAAATCAAAACACCAGGTTTGTCAGGATGTCCAGAAACTATCCTGACAAACGAAGATCGGATATTTCTCAGATAATTTTAAGACAATTTAACCCAATTCACCTAGCCTGAAAATTGGTACGCATATTTATCCTCCAGAGTTGAATCGATTTATAAATTGAGAATTCAGGAGTGGAACTACCACATTAGTAGAATGGCAGAGGATAGGATCGTACGAATAGCACGAGATAAGTCACCAAATGGACGAAGACTTATTGACAGATCAAGAAAAAGATGGTGCGATAATTTAAAAAATTTAGGAGGCTAATATTGAAGAAGAAACATGATTTAAAGCCTACATATAAGAAGGAAGAAGAAGAAGAAGAAGATCCCACTTACTAAATATTTCCAGCTCTTCATCAACGATTAAGAGAAACATGTTGAAATTTCCCGTCTTTAAAGAAAATGGTTTTTCTAGAAAGATTTATTCCAGAAATTAACTAAAAAACACACACATTAAACACAACAGACCTAGAGAACTATACAAAATTTATGACTAATAAAAATGGGCCCAACAGTCCGAACATTGTAAGATCGGAGACAGGGGAATTACAACAACAGGTGACCAAGTAGAGATATGGAAAGAGCATTTTCAGAGATGATAGGTACACCCAGGGATAACGTAGATGAAATTGTTGAAGACTCAGAGAATGTAGATTTGCGAGTCTTGAATCTCGAATATCTTGCGAATCCTCTTCAAAAATGGATATCATGACGGATAGTAACGGCTATCAAATCTGTGAGAAACAATAAGTCCCCGGGAACCGAGAATATTGCTGCCAAATTTCTAAAAGCTGATCCGCATCTAACTGCTGTACTTCTGCTCCCTATAATCGGAGATGTATTTATTTATCGTATGGCAATTACAACACATTTAGAACAAAATTACAAACACTAGTAATATAGGTATATGACAAACTTTAAATAATTACAAACAAACATCAAGTGTATTAACATAATCAATTGACTCTGAAGTTGCAAACAGGAAGTCTTCAGGGCTACCGTTATAAGATCTTGAGGGACACTCTTCAATAATGTGGTCGATCGTTTGGTCCTTCCCACAGTCACATTGAGGAGACGGATTCTTTCCCCATTTATGTAGCATGTATGCACATCTGCCATGTCTGGTTCGGATCCTGTTTAGAGTGGACCATGTTTTACGTGGAAGATCAAAACCTGGTGGCTTGTGGGTAATACAGGGCATGTTATTTTGCCATGCATTCCATTCTTGGGACCATGCATTCGTGATGTTGAACTCCTCATGTATCATTCTTGCCGTTTTCATTGGTGGTTTTCGAGAACGTAGACGGGTATTTCGTGCATCCTCGGTATCTTGGTGGATCGGCAGGTTTATATTGTTCATGATCTTTTTGTATTCACGTGTAAGTGCGTCAACTCGTCGTAAATGTGGAGGTGGAATGTGACTTAATACTGGAAGCCATTGGGTGGGAGTTGATTTAATTGTACCAGATATCATCCTCATAGTGCTGTGCAGCTGAGTGTCGACCTTTTTTACGTGTGGACTGTGTAGCCAAACTGGAGCACAATATTCAGCGGTCGAGAAAACAAGGGCTAAAGCAGTAGAGCGGAGAGTGGAAGCCGATGCTCCCCAGGTGGTACCGCAGAGCTTCTGTATAATGTTATTTCTGGTACTCAACTTTTGGGCAGTTTTTTGTTAAATGCTCTTTAAATGATAGCGTTCTGTCTAGTGTTACGCCCAGGTACTTCGGTGTTTTGTTGTGGGAAAGTGTGGTATTTTCAAACCGTATGTTAAGTTTCGCATACATCGGAGATGTATGCGAAACAAACTGCATGCCACTAGGCTGGAAAAAAATTAACATTATCTAAAGGACTAACTAATATCTATAATTAGAACTTCATCACAGGAAAAAAGGGTGTCCTCACTTCTTCTTAGGCTGCCTGTCCGTTCCGAACGTTGGCGATCATTCTGGCTGTGATGACTTTGCTGGTTGCTATACGTAATAGCTGTGTTCGAGTTCTTTCTATATAATGCTCTCAGGTTAGCAAGCCAGAATATTCTTCTTCGTCCTGGGGACCTTTTTCCTTAAATTTTACCTTGTTAAATGCATTGAAGTAGCTCGTATCTGCCTTAAATATCAGTGGTGAAATTATGCACCCCTGTCTCACTCCCCTTAACATTTTAACGTGATCTGTATATTGTCCATCTATTCGAAGTACCGCTGATTGATTGTAATACAGGTTAGCTATTATTTTTAAGTATTTTCCGTCAATCCCTGTCCTTTTCAGCACTTCCATCATTTGTTCATGTCTGACTCTATCGAAAGCCTTCTTGTAGTCAATCAGGCATGCACAAGCTTTACAGATGTACAATAAAATAGGTTTGAAAACCAATATTAATAAAACCAAATTCATGAGAATCAATGCAATAAATAACATACTATTTACTCAAATGAAATCGTAGGCTTCCACGGCCAGAGTCAGAATTATAGTTTATTCGTCTTCCGGGTTTGGACCGTGTCATTTGTGAGTGACCCAAAAGTGGGTTCATCTCGACGTTTCGCTACAATTGTATGTAGCTTCTTCAGGAGAACAGAAAAAAGAAAAAAGAAAGAAAGAAGAAAACAAAGAACAGGAAGATGGGTAGTTAGCAACGGTAACTCAGTTACTCAACGCAACCAGAGGCGAATACTAACTACCAAGATGGGCATTTGGTCACAGTAACTCAACTACTCAACGCAGCCAGAGGTGAAAACCAAATGCCAGGACAGGGATTCACGTCCAACAGCTCAGAACACTAACGCGTCGAGAGGCGGGGAGTGAATCCGACGATTACTCCGCTACCGCTCTATTTATAGTCGCGGTGCCTGTCGTGTCGGGACGTATCGGCACACTTCGTGGCGCGAACGTCAAGAAGCGCGCGCTGGCCAATCATGTGGCTGCATCGTAGTGGCGGGACCGGACGGAGGTTCTAGACTGAGATTCCAGATGGGAGACAAGTAGTATCCTTCCTCTCGATTGATATTATGGGGATTTTTTCGGATCTCTAGAGATTCGCGGATTTTCCTGGAATAAAAGAAGGGGCTTTTAGAAATAATATGGGTTTTTTCGAACAATATGGAATGACCGGTTTCTTGGCAGTGTTCTGCAACTGCAGAATGGGAGAAAAGACCTGATCGAATGCATCTTTGATGCTCTTGAATCCGAGTTTTGACGGAACGACCCGTTTCGCCAATATACACATGTCCACATGAACAAGGAATAGAATAGACACCACAGGAAGATAGGGGCGGTAATGGGTCCTTAGGAGAGGGTAGATATTGTGAGATTCTCTTGGGTGGTCGAAAAGTAGTCCTGATGCCTTCTTTGCGAAGAATTTTGCCAATCCTATCAGTGACATTTCGAATATACGGAAGAAAAGCCACAGGAGTATTACCCGAAGATTCTGAATTTGTAGTCCTAGGGTGTAAAGGGGGATGTAGATGTCGGTGTGTAATATTTTGAATTGTGGACTTGGAGTAACCGTTGGCGACAAGGGTTTTTTGCAGATGGCCAAGTTCTTCTCTAAGGTTGTCGGGTTCAGAAATCGAAATGGCCCGATGGATGAGAGAGTTGATCACAGAATTCTTTTGGGCAGGATGGTGGTGTGATGAAGCATGTAGGTAACGATTTGTGTGAGTCTTTTTTCTATAAACAGAGTGACCCAATCTTCCATTGGGCTTGGAGGTGACTAACACATCGAGAAAGGGAAGGGACCGATTATTTTCTACTTCCATTGTGAATTTTATACTCGGATGTTGTGAGTTAAGATGATCTAGGAAGGGAGAAAGGGTATGTTGACCATGGGGCCAGATGATAAATGTATCATCAACGTAGCGGAACCAGACTTTTGGTTTTAAGGGGTAAGATTCTAGGGCTTATGCAAAAAACCCTTGTCGCCAACGGTTACTCCAAGTCCACAATTCAAAATATTACACACCGACATCTACATCCCCCTTTACACCCTAGGACTACAAATTCAGAATCTTCGGGTAATACTCCTGTGGCTTTTCTTCCGTATATTCGAAATGTCACTGATAGGATTGGCAAAATTCTTCGCAAAGAAGGCATCAGGACTACTTTTCGACCACCCAAGAGAATCTCACAATATCTACCCTCTCCTAAGGACCCATTACCGCCCCTATCTTCCTGTGGTGTCTATTCTATTCCTTGTTCATGTGGACATGTGTATATTGGCGAAACGGGTCGTTCCGTCAAAACTCGGATTCAAGAGCATCAAAGATGCATTCGATCAGGTCTTTTCTCCCATTCTGCAGTTGCAGAACACTGCCAAGAAACCGGTCATTCCATATTGTTCGAAAAAACCCATATTATTTCTAAAAGCCCCTTCTTTTATTCCAGGAAAATCCGCGAATCTCTAGAGATCCGAAAAAATCCCCATAATATCAATCGAGAGGAAGGATACTACTTGTCTCCCATCTGGAATCTCAGTCTAGAACCTCCGTCCGGTCCCGCCACTACGATGCAGCCACATGATTGGCCAGCGCGCGCTTCTTGACGTTCGCGCCACGAAGTGTGCCGATACGTCCCGACACGACAGGCACCGCGACTATAAATAGAGCGGTAGCGGAGTAATCGTCGGATTCACTCCCCGCCTCTCGACGCGTTAGTGTTCTGAGCTGTTGGACGTGAATCCCTGTCCTGGCATTTGGTTTTCACCTCTGGCTGCGTTGAGTAGTTGAGTTACTGTGACCAAATGCCCATCTTGGTAGTTAGTATTCGCCTCTGGTTGCGTTGAGTAACTGAGTTACCGTTGCTAACTACCCATCTTCCTGTTCTTTGTTTTCTTCTTTCTTTCTTTTTTCTTTTTTCTGTTCTCCTGAAGAAGCTACATACAATTGTAGCGAAACGTCGAGATGAACCCACTTTTGGGTCACTCACAAATGACACGGTCCAAACCCGGAAGACGAATAAACTATAATACTATTTACTATTAACAACTTTGTGCAGATTGAAAATGTGGACAGTTTTAGTTGAAAATGTGGACAAGATAACCTGCGTATGACAATACAAATTTCTCAGCATAATCAGCTCCATTTGGAGGTCTGGCCAGCATACCAAAAAGGCAAAAGTGCAGTGCTTTTTGCAGTATTACAAAAACGAGTGGAATCACCAAATAAAAAGAAAACGAGGACGCCCAGCACAAAATTGGAGATCAATAATTATGAACGAGATGTGAAGTCAAGGAAGGTGTTAGAATTTTCTAGAGCTATATAGAAGCTCTATACCTTACTCAATAGTTTCCAGTCAAAGACCCACAAATCGTTAATCCGCTTATTAATAATTAATTAATCGTCAATATCAAAATATTTTTTTTTATCAAGACAAAAATAAGTTTTTTGTCTTGAAACCGGGTCCTTGGCTCTATTGTATGGGTTTATTATTTTAGTGTTTGATACCTTGTTTCTTATCCGGGATTATACCTTGTTTGTTCTTTAACAAACTCTGAAGGTATGAAACGTTTTAATCAGTTGTTTAGAACCGTAAGCATAAGGCACCTAGTATAAGTACAAATTTCATAAAACTAAAATGGATTTTTTGGTAATAGGTATTAAAAAACTGATGTTCCATTTGGTACCTTTTGCTCATGGAAATCATTAAATTGTTTGTAGATTGTCACATTTCGATTTAGTATTCCTAAATGAATATAAGATATCTTCCATTACTTTCCACTCTGTCCATCTCTTCTGGAATCTGCCCATACTTATTTTGATTTCTTTAGAATGCCAAACTAACAGTCTATGTGTTATATTGAATTCCATTGCTCGGTATATGGTTTGAAACTTGTTTGCGGATTTATGTGTTAGTGTCATTGTTTCGAAATTTTATGTAAAGATTGAAAATACAAATGACTCAAAAATACTGTTCCTTGATTATATTGTTATGTATTTTTTTAGGTTGGTAAATTCGTAAGTGTAAAGTCCGGCAACGACATGACTACTGAGAGAATCGTGGAAAGAATAATCAGAAATAGATTGCAGTTCGAAGACAGAAACACGAAGAAAGAATTAAAGGAATTGGAAGTACTTAAAAAAATGGAGGAGCTGGAGTTAAAACAGAACGGTATAACAGCAAACGCGTCGTAATGCTTTTAAAATTTTAATGGTATGATCATTTACATTCTACATTATTACCGCCTCTTTGTAAATTTGTTTTTGTTTAAATGTTAATGTTTTATGACAAAATTATGACTTGTGCAATTACTTATCGACCATGGAAACATTTGGAAATACCAGGAAATAGTAGACAATTGAGTCAACGAAATTGTAAGAGGTGTTAGATATATAATATTAAATAATTATTGAATCTATGATGGAACAACTAAACATTGTAACAGTAATGGATCCATATGTATGGAGTGAATACTATATGCCAAAGAAAAAAAACAAAATGAAAAACAAAGCAGGCTGTTGGATATGTCTTTTTTGTTTCCCAACAGAGAACTATATCAGAAATCAAGCAGTGCAAATAATATTAATCAGATAATATACTTTTGACTTTGAAGATGAAGTGAGTAGTATTCGGCGCAGGACAGACAAGACATAATACTATAATTCCAAACCAATGTTATTTACAATATTTGTTTGCTTTCATTAGGAAATCATTAATATTTAGCTATCAGATGAGTAATCTATGTGATACTATATAAATATTTAAGTAATAAAATATAGTATATTTGTCAGGTAAACTATTTCTATACATTGTGTGTCTCAACTTGTACTGCGACTATTGTTTAATAGAAGTAGTTCTATTTTTAGATCTAAGCCATGCAGAATTTAGCAAATATTGAAACACAAATTATATAGTTATGAGGTTCATTTAAAAAACATGGTAACTAGACTAAGTAGGGTTTATTTTAAAGATTTTATTTGATTGTAAGGAGTAACAGAATATTCAATTTAAGGCGTAAAATGTGTTGTAATATTTACATTATCTGCCAATATATATTTTTCTCCTTGAGAATTTTATATACTAGCGTAAAAACTGTACGACTCAGACTAATATGTAAGAAAACTTAAGAAATAAGTTTCGTCACAGTGTCATAGTTTCTACTCCCCCCTCTTAATTTTAGCTCTCAAGATATGACTTTTGCACTCTAAAATAAAGACGCAAACATTAGTTGCGGTGTGGTGTGCGAAATGGCATATTTACGCATTGATTTTCCGGACTCCTTCAAATGGCCAAACGGTCGAAAGCTCGGAATTTATTCAGTATCGTATAATTCGAGCTTTTCCTAGATTTGCAAGACTTGTGTTCGCTGCTATTTTATTTATAGCATAAACAAATTTTGTTCATATTAATGTCCTAATAAATTCTACATTTTAGTCATAATAAAAGCTACTCCTTATTGCAAAAGCAAGTCGAGAACGTTGTCGAGGAGTTAGATATGGCCTCGATATTCACATGTTGAATAGACGTTGTTCGTGTCTGCTGGCACATTTGGCAATTATTTGTTCTACCTTCTACTTAATATTTCGGTGGATGCAGCTGTTTTTACGTACCATGGAACATCAACTGCTTCTTAGTACTCTATTCTGAACTCTCTGTATTACTTCAGTATTATTTTTACTGATTTATCTCCAGAACTGTAATTGCTATTATTTGCGCCGTGTGTCCATACTTCTGTAGATATTTGTTTGTAAATCAGTGGTTTTTATCAATGGATAGTTTAGAATTTCCTTCAAACATACAGTCTCTTATTCAAATGCAACCCCAGGTGTTTTACAGAATTTGCAAGAGGGATCTGGATATTATGTATTCCAATAGTCTGATATCGCCCTTTTTTTAGGTGAAATTGACATGCACTAATTTTGTATCAATAATTCTCCATTTTTTCTCCAATGATTGAGTTGATTTACTGAGATCTGCAGTTTTCTTGCAGATTCTCCAACTAATAGGTTAGGCTAATGGTCAGGGAAAGTGCCTATCATATCTTTTTCAAGGTCTGGAATATTATTAGTGCATAATAGGTAAAGTAGCGGTCACAGTACACTACCGTGCTGTATCCCCTATCAGACCAGAATATACCTCCTCCTTGACTCGGAAGAATCTGTTTAAAATCTCAATATGTGATTTCTCAAAAGAACGATTTGCGAAGTGGAAAACGAAACTTCATATAAACTTAATTTTAAAGTAAAATTGTGGTTTATTCCCAAAAAAAAAATAGTAAATAGTACTCTTTTTAATTTGGGAATGAGGCCCTTATTCTATCGAAAACTTGAGCAGCATCCGGCTGAACATACATTCTTTTCTTCCAGTGTTTTTTTTATTAAATTAGTTATACATATGTGTATTTGATCAAAGGTCGAATGAGTTTCCTTGAAACCAAACTGATAAGTTGGTGAATGATGCATTATTTATTAAGTGATTTTGCTATAACCCTTTTTTGGAAGCTGTTTCAATATTTCTCCTGTTACCAAATCGAATCTAGGTTCTTTTCTTAATTTACTAATTTTTGTATGAGTAAAAATGGGCCGATTTTTAAAATAAAATGCAAAAAGATTAAGTGCTTCGTCGATCGATAAATATCTTTTGGTGGTAAATACTCTTCCACAACGACTAGAGCCAATTGGAGTGGCGGATTAGGTAAGAGTAATGGGACCGACGGTTCTCTTTTCAACTAGATTAAAATATTATGTTCGCTGTCTATCCTATCTGAATGGTTATTTGGTTATTCTCAATGTTAAATTGCATTTGTTTAGTCCAAATTTTGAGCCTGCGTATATACCCAACAAAGTGAATATATATATATATATATATATATTATATATATATATATATATATATATATATTATAAATAATTTATTTGAATTTGTTTATATTTTTTAATAATTAAAATAATTTATATTTTTGTTTGAAAGTTTAGATTATGGAATTAAAAATGTATCTGAACAACTTCAACGTTTTTAGTTTCATTTATTAAACACTCTGTTGCTCCTTATTATGTATAATTTCATTTATCTTTTATTTAAAATTTGATCTCAATTTTTATCAACAATGAAATATTGCTTTAAAACCATTTGTTTATTTATTCTAAATAAAATACATTTCTCATTTACTATGTCAGTAGAAACGCAATTTTGATCACGCTTACTGAATTTTTTTAAAAGAATTAACGAAAATAGCTTAAAGTTGATGTTGATAAGTGTATGAGAAGTGTAGAAATCCTAATTTACTTTGACATATTTAATACGGGGCTTTCTGAAACAGAAAACAAAATACGGAATGTATTTTTTATTTTTTTACACCTCCCTTTTCGATATTTTTGCATATGCTTTATAGGTTTTTACTGAATATAGGAAATATTGAAAATGAAAAAGGATTATAGTTTTGTAACACCATAAAAGATACTTCACTGCAAATTTATTATCTTTTTTAAATTTGGTTAATTTTAAACCTTTTTTTCAATTTTTTTTTAAATTTGTATCCGAAAATAATTTATACTTCCTAAAAACTAATTTTGGTATATTAAGTGGCGTAGAATTGAATCTACGTTGTATCACTGGAATTTTGTAATCACCGTAAAGCAGATTTAATTTCATGATATCTAGCAAAATGTCTAATTTTTTGTGATATCTGGCCTACGTCTGTAACCTGTAAAAGTTTTTTCTGTAACTATAAGCATATACATTTTAATATACCGTAATATTGATCCTTTTTTTTAACGCTAAGCTTTTTGGATAGCCTTGTATTAACACTGTTTCCTTATGCCCCATTTTTAGGACCCTGAGGCGTGTACATGTTTTATGAAGCTTTCTATTTTTACTATATCTTACTGTTTTGTCTAAATTTTACATTAGAACAAAGTTGTACATTTGGACTTTGTTGAAATAATGTACCTAATTTTTATATTTTGTTTATACTTTGTAACATTTAGTGTTTTTATTTATTCAGTTGTATATTATAAATTATAAATATAAAATATATTGTTATTATGCAGTGTCTTTATTTTATTTCCATACTCTTTGATATTTGTTCCAAACCCTGTCCTCTCATTAACAACCACTAAAGTTTCCCGACAAACTCCAGTTTTTGAGAACATAAATCCAAGTTTTACCACATTAATCTAAGGACTATGCAGTAGATGATCCGATTTTTTACAGATATCTCTAGCTCAGTAACTATCTAGCGAATTTAAGTAAATATTAGAACTGTTTAATGGCAAAATTTGTTTTTGGTATTTCAGCGGAAAAAATAAAATATTAGGTTAATTAGAAATACATATTTTCCGCCTTTCCCGTCCATTTTTGGACAAGACCTTTCACAACTCATTCCATCGATTGGTAGATTCCAGACGACAATAAGATTGGTAGATGACATCAAAAAAATACCTGGAATCAATTGGAAGGGTGTTGTTCATTTTACTATTTTTGTTGGGAATATGCCACAATTTTACTTTAAAATTAAGTTTACTTGACGTTTCGATTTCCACTTCGAAAATACAAAACATTAATAAATTAAACAAATTTTGTTTTTTTGTTATTTGCTGAAAAATTTTTCTAATTTAATTTTATCTGACTTATTCATATTGAAAATTAAGACATATGTTATAAAAAAAGTAGATGGCTTTAAAATGAGTGTACCTTGGACAACTTTATTGTAAGACATTCGTTCATTCGATTACATTAAATCAACTTTGAGAATATTCGTCAGAAAAATCATAGCATGTGATTTGTCTTTAAAAAGACTACCATATGCAATAATGCCTGTAAAATTTTCCTGTTTGTGATTCTAGAGTAAAAAGATTTATTTTGTGAATTGGGAATTTGGAAGAATGGATATATGCCGAATTGATTTGCAAATGCGATTGTAGACAATTTAAAACTGAAAGAGAATAAGTAAGAATTATGAAGTATGTAGGATTATTCTCTATTATAAAATCTATAGCTTTCATATTGGCAAAAGTTTCTGCTGTACAATGGACGTTTTCTTATCGAATTTAAATGTGCGTTGTACTTGCAGTGGGACAATAAAAGCCGCACCTGTGGCATAAGGATCTTTTGATGCATCTGTATAAAAAGCTGTATACATTTGGTTGATTATTTCATTATTAAGATATGTTAATTGGACGACGTTATGCATCACTAGACCAAGCGCCATTTTCTCAAATTGTGGATTATGGCGCTTTCTGGTGGGAAATAGCATAAACTATATATAAAATAAATGCCATTAGTCTAATAGTAACGGTTAACCAGTAATATTTAAAAAGATTAAGCGCCTTTCTACTTATTGTGGATTTCAAATTTTGCATGACTAGACCAAGCGACAAATTTTGTGTATTAGTTTTGCATTAATAGACCAAGCGCCAAGGCCATGAGTTTCAATGATCGTAAATCGAATATTTTGGCAATATAAGTACATCTGCGTTGCTGACAACAACTTGTTGAGGCGTTTAGGTTAAGTAGGGGCAGTTTTTACTTGAATTTTTTTTTTAAGATAATTATCGTTAGAAGTACAATTAAATATGGACAATTTTAAATCAAGAACGAGACAAATGATTTGCCAGTGCCATGGTATCACATAAACTAGAACATGTGCAGGTAAGCAAATAAAATAAATATTTATAAATATTATGGTATACTGATCGTATATCTGTTCCAACATTTTATCAGTTTTTTGTGACAAAGTTAGAATTTTCATCTATGTAAATATCTAAATATGTGTTGTTTAATTAAATTTATGTCAGCTACTTAATGTGGATTTATTTTGTAGTACTTTTACTTAGTTTGTAATACAGTGTTGCCGAAATAACTGCAAATAAGCAAACGGCCCCTAATTTGATGAATAGAACTTGTGCCAGTTACTTGGGAATTAGATAATGAGCCATTAAATAATGAGAAAAATTCTGACAATGAAATTTGTATTGAAAATACCATTCATTAGTAGTTGGGAAAACGAGGCAAATTGAAATAAGAAAGGATAAACCACTGAGTATTTTTATGAAAAGGGATTTTAATATTAGTGAAGTTGAAGTAGATCTGCACAACAAACTTCAAAGAGGACGGCCCGTTGCAATGCAATCCCTAAGTAACCACTTGATTTCACTTTGGCCCACAGGCAAGCCACTTTCTGTCCCTAAGCTTAACGACTTAAGATCTTTAATGCATCTAATACCAAATGATGCAAAACCTCTCTACCGCTCCCTGTTCAGTAATAATACAGTTGAAGATGACATTGACGGATTTGATGGAGAGTTCGACTTTGGTTGCAAGATGATTAATGTTTACTTAATAATATCACAATATTCGGAAAGTAGTATTGTTAACACTTAGTTCAAGTTTTAGTTAAGCTTTTTTATTTTTTTGATTAATTTCTTAAGTAATATAAAATGTTCAAAACAACGACTTTTATTGCCATATCCAAAAACAAAAACTATCTTGTGGGCTATTATTCACTCCCTAAAAGTGATATTTCAGTTACGCATCACTAGACCAAACGACCTCCATGTCGCTTGGTCTATTGATGCATAACGCAATGACACAATGTGCCGAAAATCGTAAGTCGACCAAACGCCTTTTTATTTTTTTAGCATTAGCAGGTTACTATTTCGTATTAGAGAAAACATAAAAAACTGTCTAAGAAAACAAAAAATTACGACAATTGAAACATACACTGAATTTTAATAGACTGAAAACTTTGAAGTTAATTATCTCAAAATTAATTTTTGGCTCTTGGTCTAGTGATGCATAACGCCGTCCAATTCAGAGTATCTAGGTATTATCGACCGCATATTTAATAAAACATCCATGTTAACTTTAATCCCCCCTCATCAGGGGATCTTCTTCATCCATTGTATTGGAACGAAAAATTCTTTTTATTTTAAATTTACAGTCAATATTATTTGTGAATAACACTAATTGCCCACAAACTTTTTGTTTATAGATAAGCCGTTGGTTTTCGATAAGTCCTAATCGATACGTACTGGACGAAATACCGAGCACGACTGGTTTACATATTTGAGATCTATAAATCTCTCTATTTTTAATATAAGATTGACGTTTATTTATTCTAACATTTAATAGCCTTGATATTCCAACTAAATAAAACTCATGGCATTCACAAGATATTTTATAAACACAATTCTTTGTTCTTTCTTGTTCATTGTTAGGCTTACAAGTTACATTGTAGGTTTAGATAAAATAGATCTCAACGGATAAAATTTAATATAAGGACAAAATTAAAAACTTAATAACAAACGGAGCTTATATCAAATTTACAAAGGATACAACGAAGAGTTTGGAAAATAGGATATATAGAACTTTATTCAAGTTTAAAGATTCTTTAACATATTATCAAACAAAGATAATTACACCTCATTACTGTAAGATACCTTATTTTTATGGGGTACCGAAAATTTAAAAAAGCGTTTACACCACGTAGACCTATTTACTATAGGATCACTATCAGGAGAATTTCACTGTTATCATTGCATGTGGTAGTCATTTTAAAGACAAATTACATTCTATGATTTTTCTGATGGATATTTTCAAGTTAAAGTTGATTTCATGTAATTCTTCCGACGGAATTGATTTGATATAATCGAATGAACTGTTTTACAATAAAGTCGTCCTAGGAACGAAACTCAAAAATATTGCCAATGTCATTTTAAAATCATCTACTTTAATATTTATAAAACGGATCGACATAAGTCAGGCAACAAATTTGCATTAGGAGAAAGAAATACAGCGTCAAAATGAATTTATTCAAATAAATTACAAAAGGGATTCGAAAACGGGTTACTGTAAGTGTTAAAATTTATGCTCATCTTGATCAATGCATTACCTGCATTATTTCTCAGCGGAGAGGCAAGTTTCGGCTAAGCATGTCAAGCTGTCAGCGAAGATTTTCAAATTCTTCAATTGCAGTTAGCAGGTGGGGTAGAGTACATGGACCTCTTGCAAAAAGGCGGACCTTGAGAAGGCCCCACAGGAAGAAATCACAGGGTGTCAGGTCACATACGGTTACGGGTTCTCTCTATAACAATTGTTAAAAAAATATTAATTAATAATTCAAAACATAATAGGCTAATGGATTATATCTCTAGTCATAAAAGAAAACTGTACACACACATACACTTCAAATGAACGTGCGGGTCACTCAACGATTCTTCGTCTGCCTATCCATTCTTCAAAATAAACATTAAGATACTTCCGCACACATTCCGGACGGACAGAAATTAGTGCTGGATCGTTGTCTATTTTCTCACGTAAATATTCATTGAATATCATCTTCAAAACATTACCTGACTTATACCGACCGACATATGTCTAAAATGTCAATATGAATGAGGTAGACAAAATTAGATTATTTTGTTTCTTTGTACCAAACAACAAAAACAAAATTCATTTAATTTATTAATGTTTTGTATTTTTAAAGTGGAAATCGAAACGTCAAATAAACTTAATTTTAAAGTAACATTGTGGCTTATTTCCAATAAAAATAGTTAACTGACCAACATTTTTCCAATTTTTTCCGGCTATTTTTTTGATGTCATCAATCTCATTGCGGTATTTCTTGATAGTCTATTTTTATAGTCTCCAGTGTTGTATTGTGGCAGTCTAATGTTGGTCCTTTTATCTAGCAGTGTTATTATACGACCAAAATGCGGATCGTCCAAAAAAGATACAATCCAAAATAGGAAAACGATTCTTCTATGACCGTTATCGATCGTTGGATATCTTGTTGACACTATCTCCGCTATCATAACTTTTTTGACAGCAGCTCCAAATAATGATGTCGACTTTTTGTATCAATGTACCAAGCTTTAATTTAATGATGTTCTTCTGTCAGGACGTGATATAAACGTGTTATTTTCCTATACAATGAGATGCAAAAGTTTATATTTTTCAGGGTGTGACTGAATTATTCCAGCTGGCGTCTCTTTATTATGATGACCAGTTGTGTTGTTTGGTTCAGCCGTCCAAGAACCTCCTCAT